GCTCAGCTTTGCCCATGGGAAAAATAACCATACTTACTAAGTCCCATGATCCTCCAAGTACATCTTCAGCATCCCCAAGGATGTCAACACGACTCCTCGCAAGCACTGGCCCTTGGAGGCCCTGCGCAGGACCGGGCCCCTTGATGCTTAGGGTATTGGGGTTTAGGGGTTTAGGGATTTAGGGTTTAGGGTATTCGGGTTTAGGGTATTAAGGTTTAGGGTTTAGGGGTTTAGGGGTTTAGGGGTTTAGGGGTTTAGGGGTTTAGGGTGTAGGGGTTAGGGTATTAGGGTTTAGGATACTAAGATTTAGGGTTTAGGGGTCTAGGGTTTAGGTGCTTGGATGCCTTCTGAGTACTTTTGTCAACCCACACTGGGTCTTTCTGGCTTGGGTTTAGGCCTTTGGGTTTCAAGGACTGTGGAACCTCCAGAAATACTTTGAAAATCCCTAAACCCTAATACCCTAAACCCTTTCCCCTGATACCCTAAACCCTAATACCAGTACCCTAAACACTAATACCCTAAATCCTAAGTAGACAAAAGCCAAAGTCTTTTGAACATGCCCTAAACCCTAAACCCTAAACCCTAAACCCTAAACCCTAAACCCAAATTAAACAACAGCCAAAGTCTTTTGAAGATGCCAAAGAGGACCTTCGAGGAGATGCAAGCGGACGGCCCGGTGGATCTGCTGAGCCGCGAGCTTTTGCTGAGCTCGCTGCACCCAGGAGCAGACCTTGGGCTTCGGTTTAGGGTTTAGAGTTTAGAGTTTAGGGTTTAGGGTTCAGGGTTTACGGTTTAGGGTTTAGGGTTCAGGGATTTTCCGAGGTGGTCAAGGGTGCTAGAAGTTTCGTTTGCGTCGGGCTTCACGAGACAAGAGCCTTTTGTAAGGTTGAGGAGCTGATTTTGCAGGCTTTTGCGAGCTGCATGAAGGCCAAGTGAAATTTCAGCCCTTCCAAAAACCCGATAAGCCCCAAACCTCCAAGACCATATAGCAACAGCAACCCTATCGGAAGGAACCCTTCCAACGGACCCCTGGAGGGAGCCCGTCAAGCGCAGGACAACACTTCGTGCGCACGGCCGCCTTCGCCAATTCCGTTGGGCTTTCCTCGGTTCTCGGGACGCCTGGCTTAAACAAAAGGCCTAAACCCTTCAAGAACGGAGAGTCGCCAGGCTTTTTGGGGTTGCTCCGGTAAGGTTCCTTTCATCGGGAGAAGTGAAAGCACCGGAACCCCTCAGCGAGATCCTCGTGGTCCGTGACTTACTACAGATTTACATCTATACCCTAAACCCCTCAACCCTAGACCCCTAAACCCTCCTCAACCCTAGCCCCTACAGGCCCGGCTTGTGAAACCTTGAAGACCAACTTCTTAAGAGCCCAGTGAGGCACCTCATTGGCCTGGGTGACCGGCATTTGGACAACCTCCTCTTGGACTTGACCACTGGGGAGGCAGGTTTAGGGCGTAAGCGGTGAGGGATAGATTAAGTAGAGCAGGCTTTAGGATGGAAGTTCTGGATTGGTTTAGGGTCTTATGTGGTTTAGGGCTGAGGGAGAGGGGCGCTGGGGGTTGTGTTTTTTCGCTGAATAGTTATACTTACGGTTTGCAGCTTGCGGGGCTGACGTCTTCTGGGGGCTTACGTCTTCCGGGGGCATTGAAACAGTGTAACATAGGAGCCTGAATTATTACCCACGGTCTTGCTTAGGGCTCCTGGCATCTTTCTTTGTTTCTTGTAAAGCCCTTTTAATATGAACCCTAAACCCGAAAGCCCGATGAAAATGACTGAGGGCCTCGTGTCAGTTTCATCTTTCTTGGCTGCACCCCTCCTACAGGACCCTCTTGGGTAAAGGGTTTATGTACATACGGTTTAGGGATGTTCAATTGCGGAAAAGCCCAAGCAGGTTTCCTGTGTAAAGGAACCTCTGTCAGCTCCATGCTCTAAACCCTAAGCCCTAAACCCTAAACCTTCATAGAACGTTTCCAGATCAAGAGAGTTCAGTGTGCCACAATTGAACAAGCCTGCTGAAGACTTGCTCTTGCTAGGGTGCACAGGAAGGGCGTTCAGCATGTGGGTGGTTCTGTAGTTTAGGGTTGGGGTACGTCGCTTTGCGAACTCCAAGCCAGAAAGAAAGCTTCGAACATGATCAATCCTCTACCCGAACCCTCAGCCGCGCGAGTTCCTGTCGCACATAGCATGTACAATCTGAAACCCCAGCCGTCGCCAGCCCGAAGCCCGCAAACCACTTAGTCAAAGATGGGTAAAGATCTTGGCTGTACCTCCAAGGAAATTTAGTCATGCGATCCAAGTTCCTGTGCCCTGCGGCCCGAGGGTCCTGAACGGGATCGGAATGCAGACAAATTCCCATCAAACCTAAACCCTAAACCCTAAACCCTAAACCCATCTCCAAATTCCCATACTTTGGCCCACCTTACGCGGACCTCACTCCAAAGCTTCAACCCCCAAGTCCCCGAAAGAGGAAACCCCGAAGTCCCTGGCTTTGCCAAACCGGTTCAAGCCCTAATATCACGGTTTAGGGTTTAGGGTTTATCCCTTAATTAAGGAATATACCTTAAATTATAGTAGGATCCCCAATATGATTTAAGGTAAAGCCACAAGCCCTCAGCCCAGAAATCCCAATACCCCGAAACTAAGGAATATACCTTAGGTTCTAGGGGCCTTCATATTACGACGTTATGTAGATTCCTTTATTCAGGGGTGTTGGGTTCTCTGGGACCCTAACCCCTAAACCCCTAAAC